AATTAGAAAATATTGTGGTGCTTTTTTTCTGACACTATTTATACAGTGATTATTTTTTTTTTTTACACGCCCACAGTTGAGATATTTTGATCTATTAACAATGAACAAAGTACGCTGATCTATAATGTTCAGTTTGGGATTATTCCATTATTTCCTGATAGCAGTTATTTCGTGCTAATGAAGTACTGCTTGATGGCAGTTGCAGTTCGGAAGTTTGCGCATTCACTCTGACCCTCTCCCATTGCCTGATTTACATCTCCTGTCGTCCATCGTGCAATTTGGTCAGAATGAAATGTGAAATCGTGCTGCCTGATGTAGTGATAAGGGCATCTAGTCTGTACGGTGTAAGAGAGGTTCAGGTGTTGGTTCCCATGAAGCAGCGTGCCACAGAAAGAAAATGGAAGTTTGTTTTCCAGTGCTCAGGTTCTCAATACAACATTGTGGGTCAGCTAAAAAAAATACTTAAGTATTTATAAGTTGAATACTTCCTCTGAGTTTCCTGGATAGAAGATTGGAAATGTAGGTGGCTAGAAAATTGAAAATATCTGCCAGTTTTGAAGTGCACTTTCCCATTCACAAACTGGGGCCGGGATCCGGTCTGCCTAAAATCTCTTTGCCATAGACTCCACCCTAGCTCACATACTTACCAGGTTTGCCTAACCCTGTAGGTAACTCTTCATTAAATATCTCCTGGTGAGTCTGAGAGGTCTTTAGGTTTGTATCTTGATTCACCAGCACAGGGTTAGGAGAGGCATTTCAGGGATGCAGGTGCTTCTCTCCTTCCTGAGCTCTGATACGGGCTGGTTTTAGGCAGTCAGTGGATTTCCATCCAAGTCCACCGGAGAAGCCTGGAAAATCAGATGTCACCAAGACTGCTGAAATTAAAAAGTGGTTGAAGCACTTACCCAAGACAGAGCCGGTCTTTGTGCAGGGCAGCTCCAGGGGGAATGCAGCCTGCGCCTCTTAAAAGAGGGACCAGACTGCCAGGTCACGGCCACATAATGCAGGAACCGTTCTGCTGGAGCTAGGTGTGTAAATGAAAATGCAAACTGCTGGGGCCGAAAAGCAAATATGAGAGAGAGACTCCTCTAACCTAGGGTTATTCGGGTGGCACGGGAGAAAACTCTGCTCATTTCTTCTAGGGACATTTTGCACAAGAGCGTGCTTTCATGTGAAAGGCATACCTACTCCAGGGAGAAGGAGTTGTCGCTCCTAGTTCCCTGTGCCTGTAGATGAGCTTAGCTGCTCCCCAGCTGCTAGGGTTGCTGACCTGAGGTTACACCGGCTTGTGCCTGCTTCGGGCCAGGAGCCCTGCCTTGCTGGCCAGCTGCAGCAAGGATGGTGCTACCAGGTACCCCACTTTTATGTCTTTACGGTGCCTCTCAGGGGTGGTGGCTGCCCCACGCCCCCTCCATCCCAAGGCAGCAGAGCTATATGAAAATCCATATATGCATAAGCAGAACCATTGCTTCCCACTTCCCCCGTGGGTGTCTGTGTCACTAGATTGCCGCTGTTGTCATAGCTGTCCTGCTAGGCACCTCTGGCCGGGGCAGCTCTAGATGTCAAGAGGGTTGTTGTCTGCAGGCACCGCTGTTCCCTACAGTGGGAGGGGGGAGGAAAGGAATTAGGAAGGCAAGATCATCCTCCTCGGGTTTTTGAGAGGCGGCAGCCTCTCTCCACGCAATAAGGAGGGGATGCAGGCAAGCAGGCTAGACAGACCTGTCCTGTCTGTCCCCGCGACAAGGCAGTTTGAATTTCAGTGAAGTTGTACCAAAACGAGACAGCTGGCACAGACAGACTTGACAGCACCCACTGTTTTCTGTCAGATTGTCTTTCTGATTAAAGGATCCTGGTTTCTGGGCAGATGAAGGAGGGGAGGAAGAACCACGGGGCAAGACAGCCATTCGGCTTTGCAGGACTTTCTTTCTTCTCTGCTCAGCAATATTGCCTCAGCAACAAATAGAAATAATATATGGAGACGGACCCATCCAAAGCTCAGTCATAAAATATCAGGCTACCTTCAGCTCCCAGCTTTAGGACATCAAGTGTGACAGCCCTGCGGCGTTTTGGGCTGACTGCTTTAACCTCTCATGGGTGGTTAATGCTACCTAACAGGAGTAAAAAGTTTAGAATTGTAAAACACTCTCTCAATCCCGGTAATAATTATCTCTTAGCAATGTTAGTGCTTTACCAACTCAAAGAGAACTAATCCCTTCTGTCGTAGAAAAGAAAAAAATGTAATAGCTGTGAGAACTGTGGAGCTTATTTTCAAATAGATGCCTCAGCATTTTGATATTTTCTGTGGGATTAACTAGTAGCACAGAAGGCTAATATATATGCAGAGCTTTCATTTGCTTCTGTGACAATTTGCCGGGGGCAAATTGAACTGTGTCATGAGAAATGGTGTTGTTTCCCCCTCTTCCTTGTCAGTTGAAGCAAAAAGACTTGTTAGTAGCATAGAAACAATTTGCAATTTATCATCAGTTCAGGGGAAGTTTCTCTTAGCTCCTTGCCTCATATTTCTGTTTTTCTTATGTTTCTCTATTTCTTACCAAAACAGAAAGGCTTGCCATTTTATAAGCACAGAAGCCACATAACAAAAGGTGTAAAAGTGTTGCAGTAAAAACATCTTTGCTAATGTAAAACAGATACTGAAGCTCTTTCTGTACTGATTTGTTATACTCCTCCCCTCCACCCCCACCCCCCCCGCTTCAGCGTAGTTGCTCATAGCTCGAAAAAAGATCATTTGCTCTGCTGTATGTATAACCCTAGCTCCTAACGATGGCTTTGTGCCGTGCTTTGGTGGTCTGCTGAGCCTGGCTCTGCGAGCATCTGGCGCTGATGGGCACAGGCAGCGATGGCTGCTGCAGAATACTAATGCTGGGGCTGGCTCCCACAAGGCTCCACTTTTGAAAAATGCTTGAGCCATTCAGTGTCCGTGCACCATGCTGAGCAACAGGAGGGCAGAAAAGCCATGCTCGGGGATTTTTTTTTTTTTTTTTTTTTTCAATGCGGAGCAAGAAGCCGACAGGAGCGATGGCTCTTTGCTTCACATTGTTGTGCCCAGGCTTCTTTCAGAGCTGCAGTCATTTATATGCATAAATATCAAGGCTGTCACTTGTTGCAGGCTTTGATAGCATTTGTGTAACAAAGAAAACGGAGGGAGAGAAGAGCTGAACATCTTCTGTTCCAGTCTTAGAAAATGAATGACTGCGTAGCTATGGTGATTACTTTCTGGTTTTATTAGATCACTGTCCTCTGCAATTTGTTTTCCTTCCTGTCCTGCTGTCCCGTGTAAGGGACCACGAGAGGACCTGCCCCCACACCCCCTTTGTCTTTCTCACACTGTGACTATCCACAGGGGATATCTCAAAGAATTACCTACCAATGACAATTGCCACAGCAAAGCTTCTTGCCCTATACTGACACAGATACTTCTTTTGTCTCAAAATTTTTTTCTTCCGTTGACCGTCTGACAAAGTCACTCCACATCACCCATTTCACGCAGAGATACGAGAATTCTACTGTAATTCCATTTTTGATTATTTACTTGATTATTCTATATCCCCCCTATGCAAAACGCATGCTTGCTGTTTGGTCTGCAGTAGCGTATCTTTCTGCAGATTCTAAATTGAAGCTGATGGTATGCTTACCAGTCATCTCTGGAAAGCTATGCAGTTGCAACTAGCTTTTCTCTGGGTCTCGCAGCTAGTCTGTATTGAAAGACAACTAAAAGACCGTACTTGTATAATACTGCTTTTCCATTAAAGCAGTTGCTAAAGTATCACAGGAATGTTATTCTGATGCCAGGAGGGAGGAGGGAGAGGTTCGTGCTGATTGCCAATAGGAGGGGAAACAGCCTGTGAGACAATCCCCCTATTAAATGTGGTCTGCACAATGAAAAGCTTGGGAAGCCTTTCTAAGGCTTCACACATCCAGGCTTGGTGCCCGGGCTCAGGGTCTCGGCCATGGAGGTGGTTTCAGAACACCACACAGGGGGAACTCTTTCAGCAACAATATCCTGATTACCTGCATAATTTATTAAACTGCCTGGATCTCCGTTCACATGCATCTTTATTGGCATGCAACTCTAGCAAGAACAGAAGTGACAATTTCTTCCTTGCCCTCCAACCAGCCCTGTCAAAGAGGTAACAGCAGATAGAGCCCCTGTGAACATTCCCAAGGCTAACTAGAGGTTTCTTTTTTCACCTGAGTAAGTGTAATTTTTTGTGCTTCCTGCTTTACCAGTCTTCCCTAATCTTATAAAAACCTTTAAGCAGTAGTATTATAGTCTTGATGGTCTGAAGATATAAACGGTGCAGGATTTGTAGCGACAAGTAATATCTTTTCCTGAAGAAGGAGTTGTGTGCCTGAAGGCCTGTCTGTTGGTTTGGTTTTTTTTTTTTTTTTTTTCCCAGCTGTATCAGTTGGTCTAATAAAAGATATTACCTCTCCCTACAAACTTTGCCTTACTTATTAAAACAGTTGCCTCCAGGACACAGAACACTCTTAACTGGGTGGAAAACTCCAACGTCAAGGTGATAGAGTGGAGTTCGGTGGTGTGATTTCCATGCCCCGAGCCAACTGGCACAAATTAAAACAAGGTGGGATAAACACTGTCCACCCTGATCATTCTGCACATCATTAGTGTCCCTTTCACTCCTACTCTGTGTCAGTACTTTCCTCTTTCCTACCTCTCAGCTGTATGGGGCAACTCTTTTTCTAACACAGAAACGCACATTAGGTAACGTCTTTTGGATGCTACCTCAGTAGAAACAGCAGCGCTTATGATAGGCTTGATGGAACTTCTCCATCTTGTAATTATTTTCTTGCTTGCTATATCTCTGTACCTTATTTTTAGTTTACTGCAGGTAAGCTTGAGAGAGATGAAGGCAAAGCCCGGTGTGTCACTGAGTAGATTGTTTCTCCTTTAAGCATCACCTAAGTGTTGACAACTTGGTTACAAGGCTTAAAAGATATTTTTCTTTCTGTGCTCTCAGGTGAACTTTCTCTGGAAGGTATACAAGACCCATTCCTTGTTAGTGTACATATTATCACAGACCCAGGTGAATCCAAGACTCTTCAGCAAGCCGTCGATAAGCTTCTAGCCTGGATCCATCCAGACCTCCAGCTGTTTCGAGTCTCAGAAAGACGAGCGCCCAAGAAGCGCAGGAGGCCGGGTAAGGCTGGTGTTTCTCAGCCAGCCCTTGCCATCGTTCTGTTTCTGCAGGAGGAATATGGAGAGGAACCGATCCTGCAGCTCCACGAAACCTTTCAGCGGCCACCTTGGCAGTTCCACCACACAGAGCGAGTGCACGGGAAGTTCCTCCCTTACTTGCCGTGCAGCCAGGACTTTTACACTTTGGCTCCGGAGACTCCTCTGTGGGCCATTCGCCCCGTGCACTACGGGAAAGAAATTATCCGCTTCACTATATACTGCAGGAGTGAAAACTTTGTTGACATTTTGAAATTGTACGAGTTAATACTGAAAAGACCAGTATGTCAGAAAAAAGTGGACTTCTGTGTTTTTCCTGTCTATTCTAACCTGGAAATAGACATTCAGTTTTCTTTAAAAAAACTTCCGAAGGGCCAGGTGCCAATGCCAACAGAGTCAGCGGTGCTGGAGTTCAGAGTAAAAGATGTAGGGCAGCTTGTGCCTCTCTTGCCCAACCCTTGCAGCCCCATCAGTGAAGACAGGTGGCAGACAGAAGACCACGATGGAAATAGGATCCTTTTGCAGGTAAGTTCAATATGCAGGGAAACAGAAGCACATTTATTGGTTTTGTGCAGGAAAGCTTAACCTCCAGTGGCAGCCAGAAAAGGAGGATTTTTTTTTTTTATTTTATTATTTTTTTTTTTCTCTATCCTAGGAGAAAGAACCAGGACAGTACTGCTAAAGCAAGAACTTGAAACCCTTTGCTGTGTGTTTAACTAATCAGGAAAGAAGTGGATGATACTGTCCAGATATCAGTCAACCTCAGTTTATGCAAAGAATGATGTGAGATGAGGTAGCTGTTTATAAGAATGTGGAGAGAAGGAATTATGAGCCCAGGTGGAGAAATGATGGCTGATGGGTGTAGTTTTATAAGAAATACAGGCACAGAACTGACAGGGGTTTATAAAATAGCTCTCAGTTATGAGATTTTTATGGAAGACAGGCAGAATTCCTGGTGGTACTCATTATTTTCTAGCATCACCGGGTGACAAACTGCATCTCTCTTTTGCATGGTGATTATCAGGACGGGGAGAGAGGTGGTGAAGGGAAAGAAACGCACCCTGAAGAGCAGCCAACCTGAGAGAGACATTCCCACAGACTCTCTTTGTGAACCAAACTCAAGAGTTTGTAACCAGGTCTTGAAAGAGAGTTTACTTGTTAGGACGTCGGTAGGCACTGTATCTGGGCAATGTGTCAGCATGCTCTGCGCCACACCCGGGGGAGATAAAGGGGATAACGAGCAGCAAGTTTTTAATAGCTGCCTGCCCTGCAGAGGGGGGATCTCTGGCAATCCAGAGCCGGGTTAATGTGCATTCCTGCATTGCAAAGGTATTTATTGCTGCTAAGCGTTCGAACCAAGGAGCACAGAGCCTCACCTTGGGAAGACTGTTGTTCAGATTTTGGAGAAGGGCACTTTTTTTTTTTTTTTTTTTTTTTTAGAGTGAATTGCATTCATGAAGCTTGTCGCGCTGTCTAACCGTGTTTCTGTGGAAGAGGCATTGTGGGTGCCATCATTCCACTGCACAGACCTCCCGGGGTGCAGAGAGGTGTGTACCCCCCCTTGCAGCACGGTGCCCCTGGGTTTGTAGCTCCCGGGCTTCGAAATCCAGGGTACACGGGTCATCTGTGCTCTGGCGAGTCACATCCAGGTGGTGGTGAAACCTTTCAGTGCCGCTTTGGAGGTGCCACCCACCGAGACACCCAATGCCAGAGCTGAACAGCACGCACGCAGGGCTCAGGAGGCAGTTCAGCTTCCCTGCCAACACCGTCACCAGTTTGTCAGGGTCGCTGCTGGCACTGCAGGGGTATCTGTGTTAGCCTGAGATAACTTGCAAACTTAAGCTTACAAGAGCCATCAGTTAATTTACACAGCTGCCAGACTCACCTACATCCCCTTTTCCCCGTTCTCTTTCAGGAGGTTTCTGCTGTGGGATGTAACTTTGTTTTATGGGATCTTGCACTGCTTTCACGTAAATTGAAGGGAAGGGTAAAAAAAAAAAAATGCAAGAACTACAAAGCTTATAAATAAGGCTTTTGATTTCAAAACAGCAAATTTTCAAAAATAACAGGTGCTAGGCAGCACAGAGGTAAAGCGAGACTTGCCAAACAGCAGACTGAGGCAAAACCTGCAAGGAAAATCAGAATAAGATTTTAGCTGTATACACCAAAAGAGAAGAACAGAAGTCTGCTAAGCATGGCCTCCAAGTGCAATTAATTTTCATTTGTGTTTTCAGTGAGGATGATGATGCTGAACAGGAGAGCAAAATGGCAAATGGGAATGAAGTTACAGAAATGGAAATGATCTCATTGGAAGTGTGGTGAAGGCAAATACGTTTAATAGATGCAAAATTAGGGGAAAACAAAGACTTTGGATCTAACGCGATTGTAAAGTCATGAAGACTAGGTCCTGGTATACAGGTTTTAAATAAGTCTGTATGATCAGAAGCACGCTCGGAAAATATACCAGAAGGTAAATGACAGGAATGGGAAAGGGCTGTTTCACTAAATGAATCTTCTGGCACCGGAACAAAAATCTGACCATAAATAGATTGAAGTTGGCGGCTGTACATATTGATGGCCAGCTACATGACTGCCACCCAGCAGGTGAAATCAGGTTAATATCCTAATTCAAGACAGAATGGTAAATTAAGGAAAAGGGATTATGTAGTGGAACATGGGTTATAGGAAACAATGGATTTGGTTGTCCATGGACTCCCTATATTACTTTAACGCGTTCTGAGTTCAGAACAATTATAGTATTTACCTTTAAAAGTAACAGGACTACTTTTTGACTTCTCAGGGAGCGCTGCTATTAGCAATCTTATCAATGCCACAGCACTGTTAATAACTTTCACTTCTTCCCAAACAATATGAAGTCCAATGATGACCTCCTAGTATTTTTCAGCCTGCATATCAGTTGGTACTTAGCAATCACCAGAATACTTTTATTTACTTCATGTGGATACTGCACGTTTTTACAGATTAAAATTGCCAGTTATACCCAAAATGGTAGATTTACATTCCTGTTAATGTTTAGTGTTTGAAATTTGAATATACCTCCGTGATTAGGCTAACAAGATGTGAACTCTCTGTTTCTTGGTGTGCTTACAGGGACTTGAATACTTGCCAGCCAGATTGATCTGCGTTCTTAACCCATTTTACAAATGCAGTTACCAAGGGGCTTAGATAAAGTCAGGGCGAGAGAAAATAGAGTTATTAATGGGCAGGGTACATCTGTTTAATACCACAGAACCTGTTCCTTCATTTGAGAGAAAGCCCTTCAAAATTATTTTGTCCCAGTAGCTTTTCCACACTGGCAAGGTAACTCCATGGGTGCAGCCATATACCAGCTGAAGCAAAGGGTAAGCTTCAGTTGGCTCTAGCCAATGTAGAGCAAGTCTTAAGAGAATGTTTGCATCCTGTGGAAAGACTCCCACACTACTTCACTAGTGCTATGCCCAGAAGCTGGAGCTCTGGCGAGCTCTTGTCAGAGCAGTGGGAAGAATATGTAAATAATGTAGCTGAGAATACCCTATATACCGGTGTACTGAATGTACTGCCAGTTTTATAGGTCTTGTCCAAATTCCTGGCTGCCTCTGGGCATAATCTGCACAGACAGCTGAAGTGCTCATGAACTTGCACCCTGGCAGTGCAGCGTGGGTGGCAGCAAAGGTTAATAACTGATGGGGCTGGCTTGGCCATGCATGTTTGGGAAGCAGGGACAGTGAGCAGAGAGGAGAAAATGCACAGATGGCTTCTTTAAATTACGAGAATGTCTTTGGGCAGGGTAGGGAAGGTAAAATAACATATTGGCACAATTCCGTGACTACTCTGCATGAGGAGGGGCATGCAGACATACTTGGGAGGAAGGTGGGCAACAACAAATGAGTATCTCACCAAGCTAGTGGCTCAGTGCTTAAGCAGAAGACCTACTGCCATTTTACTTGCCAATGAGTACCTGAGCCACCCAGAAGAGGTGTCTTGGCAGATTAAACTCAGGACCTACAGGAGGGCTGTGCCCTCCTGGAATGCCAGGCAGGCATCCTAGGAGCTACCAGAATGGACCAAACAGGTTCAGGCACCTGATTCATCCTCTAATAACCAATTTCTTGCAGAAATCCCAGCCCCTCCACCATTTTCACCACCAAGAAGCAAACAACATTGCCAGAAAGCCAAGACATACAAATTCCAAGAAAGATGTGGTTACCAGTCTATACTAATCCAGCCTGAAACAAGATAGTCAGATCTGGCATTGTAAAGCTTTTTTTATGCCAATTACTGTGCTAATGAAGATATACTGGTTTTTGGGGTGGCTATTTTCTGCCTAGTGTTGCTTTATAGAGCATCCCTGAAATAACAGTGCAAATATTAACTGATCACAGCTTTTACTTAGCGGGATTTTTTTTAGCTGATTTACTGAGTTAATCAGCCAATGTTTTTCTGACCTATAGCAGGCAACTGTAATCATGAGTTCAGAAGTGGTATAATCACATTTAGGGAACACAGTTTATTACCTGAAGCTTTGGTTCTGAGAAAAAAGATTGCTTGTGGACCCAACCATTAAGAATTATTAACCTGCTGCTGTGCTGTCTGTAAGCTCGAGGTCTCTGCTACCTTGGAGATTTCTCCATCTCTTGATGCACAAAATGAGTACTCTATGAGCAGGCAGTAGTCATCCCATAATGGTTTCACGAGGTCCGCTGCAGTCATTTATGTACAACATCAGTATGTTACTGTTGAATATGTCCTTGGAGTTGCCAGACGTCAGTCTGGGGGTGCAGATGTCTGCCAGCTGCATGCATAAAGGCATTCTGTGCTAGGCATTTGCAGTGCAAAACGCATGAAGAATGGAAGCAGCATGAAGGTTACATGCCTACACAGACATCAGCAATTACTCTATACAGGAAAAAGAATCAAAAGCTTATAGCTGAAAACCTCTTTGTTAATTCAGTGTATTATATACAGGTATCTGTGAGACTCATGAACTCATCTCCTCATCGCCTTTTATCTGGGGCCACAAGAAGAACAAAAGTGCCTTTATTTCCCTCAGCTCATTTAAAACATCTATGCATCTGCATGAGAAGTGTAGTTGTCAAACCTCACAGTCAAGGTAGCTGAACGCAGAAATCAGAGAGGGAGAGATTTTTCCATGATGCAGAACCAATCCAGCATGTTTTAGGGAATAGAGACAGCACCTTCTTGCAGAGTGCTGGAGACTGGCCGTAACTGAAGCAAGGAGCTGGGACAAGAGGACTCAGACAACGCAGAAAATACCCTCTTAGGTGTATGGGCAGCAAGGGTGGGTATTACTGAGCTGCTGAGGTCAAAATAATTACAAGATTTGAGGTCAGGGCAAAGCTTTTTCTTTTCCTCTCCCAGCCCTAACAGAGACTAAAAGAAACATTTTACTCTCCTCTGCAGCACAAGGAATAGTATGCTTCTCAAGCTGATCTTGGCCAAGGAGAGGCGTATCTTGGAGGCTCAGGGTCCACTTCTGTTTCCTTGGAGAGCCTTAGGACACAGAT